GGACCATCGAACCAAGACCGCAGGGCGCGCCCACATCGGAGCTCAAGCTTGTCGGAATAAGAGAAATCGCTAGAGTACGCGTATGTAGAGCCATTGCAGCGTGGGCCGACGACCCTCCAGGGCGGCCCCACGCACGGCGCTTCGCGCCCGGCGCCGAGCGAGGTGAAGCCGCTCAGCGGAGAGAGGGGGGCGCGCCAGCGGCGCGGCGGAGCGAAGCTGCTCATGGCATTGAACAATCGCTTGCCGACGCTGCCGACATGGGGCGCGCCAGCAGCTCTGGGCGAGGTCGACTGCTCCGAGGCCCCCGGCAGCACTTGGGGCCTCCGCGGCGTCCCCGAGACGGCGGTGACGGGGCCCCAAATGGAATCGAGCGCGAGCGAAGCACAGCGCCAGGCACAAGCCAGGGCAGTGGACACGAGCGAGACGGGGACAGGGGGAGGGGGGCCACGAGCCGAGAGAGGGGAGCTCAGAGAGAGCGAAGGAGTTGGGCGGAAGGGGCAGGGGCTTATGCAGGCCCCACTCTCTTCCGCATGGCGTTGCTGACGGGGTAAAACTGCGCCGCGCAGGGCGTGCAGGACAAGACCGGCGAGTTGCACAGTCTGGCAGATACGTCGTCGGAAGAGGCAAGAGCACCGAGCTCAATGCACCTGCTGCGCCACGACTGGGACGGGACAGAGCATTCACTGTCGAGGGTCGCACCCGGGCCCTGGAGGGTTCCGAGATATTTAAGTTTCGGGGCGACAAGAAATTGAAACCAGCGGGGTGCCCACCAGGGGAGCTCTGCCTGGGCCGCAGATATCTGACCTCATCTGCATGGTCTGTCCAGAGGGGAGCGATCACACACACACTTGACGGCCTGCAGAGATAGTGCCGCTACTTCCCGGGGCTGGAGAAAGCGGGGCCCAGGGGCGCGAATCGTCTTCGCGGCGCGAAAGACCGCGCCGACGTCGCCCGCGCAGGCTTCGCGAGAACCGCGCCGACGAGCGGGGGGGGCCCGAGGGAGAGGAGGCGAAGGAAGGGGTCGAGCCAAAGAGGGCACCCCTGGGCCACGCCCGAGAGGATTGGGTCTTACTCACACGCGTGACTCCCGCCTTGACCTAGCCTGCCATGTGGAAGTATAGACCAATGGCGCGCCTGCAACCGAAAGGGATTCCGAAACGCCCCAGAACTTTGAGCAAATCTGTTCTGCCCAGGCTCGCGAAAGCTGGAGAAATCGAAACGGATGAAAACTGGATGGTTCTCTGCGGCCTCCAGGTCCTTCGAGGCAATCGTGCATCCCGCGCCCGTAAGAAGGATGTGTGTTGATGGACGTCTTACCCGAGATGATGCCTTGCTGAGCCTCGTCGTGGGCCGACTCGGCCGCGCGCTTGATATTCAAATTGATGGCCGATGCGATGGCCTTCGAGTCCTGGCCCTTGAGGCTCAGCGCCTGGTCCGCCGCGGCCAGCGAACGCAGTCCACCGCGTCGCCGCGGCCCCCCTCGGGCGACCGGAAGAAGGCGAAATCGCTGACATTCAAGCCAGGCGCCATAATCGTGCCCTTGAACAGCTTCAGCATCGCCGGGTAGGCGTGATCCACAGCGCGGGGGCATGGGAGCCACGCGTCCACGGGCAACCCGCCAGGCCCTGGAGCAGACCGCCTCGCCGGGCGAAAAGCGGCACGCATCTGCTCCAAGCTGGGGATCGCGAGGTCCACGGGCGGCATGCCGGGCATCGCGCAGTCGAGAAACTCCACGATGGCAGATGCACCGGCCTCCTGGCCCAGGAAGACCGGGGCCCAGCGCCTCAGGAGGGCGTCGGCGACGTCGCCGGGTTGCCAGGCAAAGTGGCCGTCGGGGCCTCCAGAGTGGACCTGCAGGCCGTTCCAAATGAGGCGCTTGCGGAGGGAGCCCGCAGGGCTGCGCGCCTGCGTGCAATCGCCTCCTGGCGCTGTAGCGCGTCTGTCTGCTCGGGGCTCTCGTACTGCTTGGCCCTTCATGCGGCCTGCTGGGCCTGGCGCTCGCGCCGGCGACGCTGGCGGGCGATGGGGGGGGCAGCAGATGCGGTTCTAGACGACCCCGCCCTATAGGGCCGTTGGGCTGGGTTTCTCCCAGCGCCATTTTCGACCGCCACGAGGTGGTTTTGTCCCAGTTCCGCATTGCGGATCAAGCGACCCAGCGGCCCAGAGTCGCGCAATGCTCCGCATGGTGAGCCTCCGCGACTCGAGCGCCTCGGGGGGGCCCTTCTCCGCGCCTGGGGAGAGCTTGGAAAGCGCATATTCCAGTTGGGCCTGGCTGCCCCTTTCGTCGCGCGTTTCGTCTCCGAGAGCCGCTGTTCGGGAGGAAGGGTGACTTCGTCCAGGGCGCCCATCCAGGTGTCCAGCGTCGCAGCGTACATCGGAGCCTTGAAGATGCGCTCGGGGGCGCTCTGCTCGTCGCGCTCGACGGCTATCCACGGCCGTATGCGCCAGACAACGGCTGCATGATCCCTCGGGCACCAATCGGCATGACGCGTGGCCTCTCGGTGAATTTCGAAGTCGCAGATAAGCTGATCGAGGTACTGGGCGGGCCAGGGGACGAAAGCCCGTCGACGCACGTAGCCGTCTGTGGCCCTCGAGTAGCGAGTCGGCATCCCGCTCGTGATCTCAACCGTCTGGTCGTCGAACATGTCCTGCCACTGCCGAGGGAGCTGTCTGTGACGTCTAGCCTCCAGCCGCGCGTGAGGCCCATCCAGCCTCGGGGCAGACGTAGGAGGCGG